AAAAAAGAGGAAGCCACCTGGCATGGAGGCGGAGGCGCTTTTCATTGAGTCGGGGAGACTTAGTGCGTATCCTGCTCAGATAAAGTGTACATTTTAAGAACTTCCCAGCACAAATATGCATGACTGCTTGCTTTTCTCAGGCTGTCGTTTGTTCTGGGAGAACGGCGAGGACTTAACATCCTCAAGGCTGGGGTGTGTTTTAGGATCTGCCCAAATGTTCAGGCCTAATTGAGAGTTTGTTTTGGCCATGACTCTACAGAGGTGTCAAGCCATTGCTAAGCGGGGGATCAATGGGAAGAAAGCTTTGCAAAACCTCTCATAAGCCAACTTGTTTGAAGGTTTGGTTGCATCACAGTTGACGGACTAAGAATCCTGGTCTTCCACCTGGGTCAGTGGGTGTTACCGGAACCGGGGGGACTGTATCCTCAAAGCTTGCCGTTCAGCCAGGAGGTTGCTGCAACATGGAGTTTCATTTTTGGGACGTTTTCTCATACTTTGGAAGTCTCCTGAAGCATGTCAGGCTCTATTTTCCCTCATTTGTAAATGCTCCATTTAGCACCTGTTACACATGGTTTCACCTAGTGTTGTAACTGCTTCAACTAGGTCTCTCTTGTCTCCTCCCATCAAGATTTATAACTCCTCCAGGGCAGGGGCTGGGTTTTCTACATTGGTGCTCTACCCAAAGAGTATTTCTAAAGTATATAGAAAGAGTCTTGTTAGAATGGTGGAAACATGGTTCATTTAAAGTTCCTTTAATTTTTCAGGATTAAAGATGTGTTTTATTATTACATTTCTACAAAGACAAATTAAGTATATTAAATACTCTTGTTGACTCGTACTGTTGCATTCTATCCCTTTGCACTCCCTCTACTTCCTTAGCCCCATATTAACTCTCTAAGAAGTACACAACAGACTTGTTGAATTACCCCCAGTTTTACAGAAGAGTCAGTCACAAATTAATTCTTCTCTTTTTCCACTCTAAAATGCTTTGTTGCTGGAGAGCATCCAATGAAAATATTTTGGGGGAACTGCTTGAATCCTTAACTCCCTAATTTGTATTTCTTAAGGTATTTTTAAGCACCCAATTGCCTACGGGAAACTGTAAAAAAAATTATTACAAAGATATGTTCTATCAAGGCAGTAAAAACATGGAATCCAAGACAACCATGAGATATGAACGTAAAAGGAGAAAAGAGAAAATAAAATACAAGTATTGAACCCAATCTGCAAACTCTTCACGTCAAGTACGAATCAGAGATGAGAGGAAAGTTTAGCACAGGGGGTGAGAGTGTTTGGATCAGAGCATCAGGGCAAAGGCCATGGGAGTCTGCAGCTCTTCATGGGATGGAGGAAGAGCCATCAGACTTTTTTTGGAAAATCTTTGGGAATGTGTGGGATTTCAGAGATTATTTTAATTGTGTAGGG